CTGCTGCTAACTGAAGTTGCTGTTTAGTATGCAGGCTCACATGCTTACCTTTTCCCTCCTACGCATGTTGATCTGGCACCATAAACACAACCCCATTGTTTTAAAGAGGCCAGAGTAGAACAAAAGGTCTCACCTAAAGTAAGGCCGGGTGCCCAGTAAACTTAAAGTAATGTCTTGCTTAATGCCCTGGACTTTCTTTTTTCTTAAATAATTTCAGTTGTGAAAATAGTATATCTTGTGTATCCTTCACCGACCTTTCTCGAATGTTAATATCTTACCTGACTGTGGTACAAGATCACAACTACGAAGTTTAACCTGGGAACAGTGCTGTTAACTAAACTATAGACCTCACTAGAATTTCACCCGAGTTCCCGGATGCCCCCTTTCAGCCTCGGGATCCAACCTGGGACCCCACGTTGCATTTTGTTGTCACATCTCCTTGGTGTCTCCTCTGTGACCATTCTCCAATCTTTCTTTGACTTTCATGATCTTGATCCTACTGCACAGTACTGCTCAATTATTTTGTAGTGGGGTTCATGGGATGTCTTCCCCTGGCTGGATTGAGGTTATGCATTTTGGACAGAATACTACACAGCCCTGACTGGTTTGGCTCAGTGGATAGAGTGTCGGCCTGTGGACTCAAGGGTCCCAGGTTCGATTCCGGTCAAGGGCATGTACCTTGGTTGCGGGCACATCCCCAGTGGGGGGTGTGCAGGAAGCAGCTGATGGATGTTTCTCTCTCATCAATGTTTCTAACTCTCTATCCCTCTCCCTTCCTCTCTGTAAAAATGCAATAAAATATATTTTAAAAAAAAGAATACCCCACAAATGATGTGCTTTTTCAGTGCAGCATATGAGGCGGAATGTAGTGTCTAAATGTCTCATTGCTGGTGATGTAAACCTTGTGTACACACATCCATGAAGTTTGATTTTGGCAGCACCTTGCTTCCCCTTTTGATACTCAGCACTCCCCGTTCCACCCCACCCTCAGCTGTGTCCCAGAGGTGACTTATCTGCATTTGTCCTGCTCAGGCTACAACTCATTCTACTCTTCCCTCTTCTATCAAAGACCACGTGTTCTATCAGTGCCCTGCATTTGTGAGGTAATGTTCAGGTAAATTTATCTCTGCTAAGGTGCTAACAAGCAACAGATTTACATTTTATTTATTTTTTCAGATTCACATTTTAGTAAAGAACTGCTGGAACCTAAGGCTCGGCTAGGCAGTGGTCGGCAAACTGCGGCTCGCGAGCCACATGCGGCTCTTTGGCCCCTTGAGTGTGGCTCTTCCACAAAATACCGACTTCTGCGCATGGGCCAGGAAGTTTCAATCTCACTGTACATGCACGCCCGCACATGTGGTATTGTGTGGAAGAGCCACACTCAAGGGGCCAACGAACCGCATGTGGCTCGCGAGCCGCAGTTTGCCAACCACTGGGCTAGGATGACCAGAGGAGCCCGTGTGTTTGGGACTGTCCCCGTGTGTGCCTGTTGCCGTGGCTTAATCAGTAATAGCATCCCCTTTCCCTCTCAAAAGGGTCCTGGTTTCTCTGTATAATAGTATGGTCACCCAACCTTAACCAAAATAAATGACTAATCATAGGCATTTTGGTAGGCCAACAGGGAAAATAAATTTAGGTAAATGACGTTTCGATGTTTCTCGAATTGCACCCCAGCTCTATGTTCCTATAAAAAGTTAAAGTTCACCAACCTGTAGGAATCAGGGTTTCGTCCACAGGCAGAAAGGCATCGGCTTCTATAGTGACTTCATGGTCGTATATATTTGGGGAACCCTGGGAAGGAAGGGGTAGGGAGGAGGATTTAAAGCTTAGTCCTGTTTCATATATTTGCTTTATAACTTCTCTTGCAGAAATGTTTTCAGGCATTGACAAAAACGTTAGACATCCCATGTGACCTCTGAGACGGCTGATACATTCCTTGAAGTGTGGGTAGACAGGGCCTCAAAATAGCAGCTGATACATTTGGGGGAAGCTTTCAAGTGTGACCCCAGCATGCATGTTCTTTACTAAATGGGAGTATAAAGGTGCAGTCAGGGAGACACCCGTAGTCTGAAAGCTTTTTGGATTTCGACTTTTATTAGCAGAGGGGTTTTTTCCACCTTCCTCACACGCTGGGAAAAACAAGAGCAAGGGTCGGTGGCCCATAGCGCCCAGGGCTGGACGGCCAAGGCCTCGCCTCCAGGCTCGCCAGAGGTGGGGCACGTCACCCTTTCTCTGGCCCAATTCCCTGCCACATGACAGAAGCCAGGAGTCAGAACGGGGGTCCCTGCTTTAGAGCGTTTGTCCATCTCCATAAAGAGGCACCTGCTCTCCCGGGGGAGTCAAAGGCTGGTCAGTGGGCAGAGGCCTATGGTCTAGTTCCAGCTCCCACTGAGTGGCCCCCGGGGAGTCACATAACCTCCTGGAATCTCATTTCCTTTTGTGTAAAACTGGGCTAACGGTGCCAGGGCTCTTCTGAAGGACAGTTTAGTAAAGACGTGTTGCATTGCTTGCAAATTGGAAGGTGCACATGTACGTTTCTAATTTAAGGGATTATTTTGATTATTAATAGGAGTCTATTTTAAAGCTCCACAGCAGAAGATACAAAAAGGGAAACCTCAAAAATAAGCTAAACCAGTGGTCCTCAACAGGGGCTGATTTTGCCCCACCGGGGAAAAATGTGACAATGTCCGGAGACATTTTTGATGGTCAAGACCGGGGGTAGTAATGCTAATGGCACCTGGTGGGAAGAGACCAGGGATTCTGCTAAACGCTCTACAATGCACAGGACTGCCCTGACCCCTGCAACAGGAATTACCTGGCCGAAATGCCCATAGTGCCAAGACTGAGAAACGCTGAGCTAGGCGACACTGACGGTTCTGCGGGTTCGAGAATCAGCAGAGAGAGGCAGAGCGCTGTGGTTAATGGAAAACAGGGTCTGTGGTCAGAAAGCCTCAGGCCCACAGAATCAAATGGAAAAGCCTGGCCCCAGCATGCAAGATTGTAGAGACCTTGAGACTCTATGTCTAAACATGGCAGAGACTGTCTGAATCGCTCTACTAAGAAGGTCTGTTTCTGAGGGACATCTCTTGTGTCCTCCTGGCAGGCAACATGCTGGCAGGGGCAGGGATCGGTGGCAGGTCAGACTGGGGCAGAGGTTTCTCCTCTGCTTACCCGATCTCAGCCACTTGTTTGGCCCCAGTTCTGACCTGGGAAGGCAGGTCCAAGGTGGGAGGGGCCTAGGGCGGCTGTAGACCAGAGGGGTCATCGCCTGTGTGGCTCTCCCTACTGCCATCCGCTCATGGCTCAGGGGTAGAGCCAGCCCCAAGCAGGCCTCTGGGACTGAGGGGTGTCCCTTTCTGATGAGGGAAGAGAATGTGAAATAATTTTAGTAGTGAAACTGGCTCTACCTGTTCAACGTTCAGTTCAAGTTTGAGTAGTATTCCATTACGTGAATATATTACAACTTGTTTACCTTTTCTCCTGTTGACGGACTTTTTTACTATTTTTTACTATTATGAATAAAGGTGCTTAGGAATGTCCTGTTTCTGTTTGTTTTTTAACACTAAGGCAGAAAGAAAATGATTCACTATGAAAATCACACACCAAACGAACTGATGAGTCTGAGATGTTAGCAAGAAGCTAGGGAGGAGAAGGAAAAAACCTTTATTAGGCACCATTAGGTTCTACTGGCTACTGGGTCACCGAGCAGCACTAACATTCCTTCATTGAAGGGAAGCATGCTTCACTTTATGACTCCTCTGACCGGGAATAATGCAGTGATCCACTCTGGTGGAATAATTCTGTTGGCTTCATTTCCTCCCCGGCAAATAGAAATTTGGCAAGGAATGCTGATTCACAAACAGAACTTGAGGTCCATCTCTGAGCTCAGTGTTTGTTTTGGTGAACTTGGCTTGGCTGTGACTAGCCTGTAACATTAACCATTTACAGAGTTCACTGTGGCCTGCATGGGCTGTAAAGACTTCTTTTGTGCACTGCCACTACCACTGCCTTAATTCAGCTCTTATCGCCTCTAGCAGGAATAACAGACACCATTGGTTACTACCAACCAAGCCACAGCAACTGCCTAACCAGCACCCACCCGCTCCCCTAGGAGAACCCTGACCTGTTGCTTTACCCTGTGCTAGGTTACAGGTGCAGGGGAAGGACCCCTACCCTGGCCCCAGAGGGCTAATCCTGATTGGTCTAAGCCAGTGGTCGGCAAACTGTGGCTCGTGAGCCACATGCGGCTCTTTGGCCCCTTGAGTGTGTCCACAAAATATAACGTGCGGGCGCCCACGTACAGTGCAACTGAAACTTCGTGGCCCATGCACAGAAGTTGGTTTTCAGCCTGGGCGAGTCTATTTTGAAGAAGTGGCATTAGAAGAAGTGGGGGGTGTCGGTCGGTCGGGGGCGGGAGTCGTGGCGTGGGGGAGGTACATTGTTTTGAGGTACATTCGCTGAGGTTGACCCCTTCCAACTCTCCCATCCACACTCATCTATCTAAAACAAGTACACAAGACGAGTGTGGATGGGAGAGTTGGAAGGGGTCGACCTCAGCGAACGTACCTCAATGAGATCGAGGACGTTTTTAGCAAAGGCCAGCTTAGGAGTACCCTAATTAAGTTAATAACAATGTACCTACCTATATAGTTTAAGTTTAAAAAATTTGGCTCTCAAAAGAAATTTCAATCATTGTACTGTTGATATTTGGCTCTGTTGACTAATGAGTTTGCCGACCACTAGTCTAAGCCAATCCCGGTGGTCTAATTCTCTTGTTGGTGATTGGGTTGAACAGGGCACAGGGCACACCTTTGGCCAACAAAATGTAGGAAAAGTCTGGAGGGGAGCTTCTGGGAAAAGTTTTGCTTGTTCTTAAAAATGGAACATGAGAGATATGAGAAAAAAAAAAAGGAATAGGTCCTTTTTTGTCTCTAGATGTGACTATATGAAGAGGTGGTTTCTAGAGCTGTGGCAACCATCCAGTGACCATGACAGGACAGCCTGAAGGCAAAGGCCACAACACTGGAGAAGCAGAATGGAGAGGCGGCAGAACCTGGGTCCTTGGTGACTACCTCCCCAGCCATCCGGAACCACAGTCACTGCTTGTCACCTCACGTTCCCGCAGGCCTGCTCTTTAGGTAAAGTTTAAGCAAGAAACATGTTCTCCCAGTTTTGTGTTAGGCAAAAGCAGGAACTGCGAAAAAGAAAAAGACACAAACAACCTACAACCCACATAACTTTTCTATTCTCTGAAAAACACAGTTCTCCCTTCCTCCCAGGCCCCTGACACTCAAACTTAGAAGCGATGAGTCAAAGCCTGGCCCCAAGTAGAACAAAAGCACTATTAAGTTAAACAAACAAACAAAAGGAGAAAATATATAAGATGAGCTGACTACCTTAAATACCAAGTTTGGATCTATTTCCCTGGGAAAGGTTTAAGATGCATGATAATGTGTCTGGTGGGAGGGCAAGAGATATTCTGAAAACGCAGAGGTCCCTGACCCCAGGCCTACTTAGACTGACCGTCCACTCTTACCTGACGACCCCTGCCCACCCTCAACCCTGGAGCTAGTGGCTGTGGAGTCCAGCTGCACTTACTAAGACAGTTACCGAAGGGAATTGACACTGACCACCCTTCTAGTGGGGCCTGTGGTCTGGGAAACTATTCAGCCTATGTTAAGAGATTCAGAAATACCTGTCACTTCAGGGAAGGGAAGGGTGTAAACTTCTGGTCAGGAGGGTTCTCTGCCAGGTAAATAGGAAGAGCCGCAGTGAACCTTACATTCCCATCAAGTCTCCTCCATCGGAACACATTGGCAGATGGGATACTTCACACATCATTTCTCTTTCTAGTCCTGAATCTATTCCTTGCGGCCACCCCTGCTTATAAAATTGGATGTCTAAGTACATAGAAATGTTGAAAACAGTAAAAAATCGCCATGATCAGCATGGTTACCTACATTAAACCCTAAATATTTGGTTCTATTTTTGTCAAGTTTCTTTCTGAACTTATTTTGAAAAGTAGGGCCTTTATGTTTATGATTGCAGAGCCTTTTACGGCTGGGCGTGTTTGTTTTGTTTTTGTACTTTGGTGTGTCTTTAAGATCTCAAGAAAGATGGCGGGAGTTTCTGAAGATAAGGAGAGAGCAAGTGAAGAAGCATCTTTCTTATTTTTAAAGGGAGGACTTTGGAAAGTATATCAGAACCAATTAACTCATGCTATTTGAAAAGATCCTAGGGGGAAAAAAAAATCAGATCATCAGCAAACTCCTAACAGAGTGTGAAAATACAAGCTATTACTAGCTGGCTGTGAACATCATCTCGTGATAGAAAATCATGCCAAAGTGAGTGATTCAAGTACAGTAGACGCTGATGAGTTCTTCAGATGAACAGGAAGTAATAGATATAATCTGCAGAATTTAGCTAAGCTTTTTTGTATTCTGTCTTATGCAATCGCCTCCTCAACAAGCTAAAATATTAGCATTAGGAGGGAATGAGGTAGTTTAGAAATTACTTAATGTGGGTTGTAATGTCTTTACCCCACACTCAGGGTGGGCCACACAGTAGGAGCACACAAATATTCTAGCATATCTAAAGGGCTTGGGCAGAGCACATTTCCAAAGGTCCAAGGGTAGAAAGCACTTTTCTTGGAAGTAATTTTTTAGGGGGAGGGGGTGTAGGAGTGAAGTAGGTGAAGCAAATGTAAGTACATGTTGTTAGTTGAGAGGGAATTCTTAAAATAACTAGTTAGTTACCTGAGCATATGGGAAACTTAGTTTTCTTGGCAGCAGCACACACTCATCCTATCTTCATGCTTTCATTCCCTATAACTTTCATTTATTGAGCACCTACTATGAGCCAGATGCTTTGCTGGGCAATGTCATCATTATGGGGGTGACCCCATCACCAGGGTAATTTCATGCTGGGTCGGTCTCTCCAGTCACTCCCCCAGCTCATTCCACAAAGCACATCGCAGGAGAGAAGAGGCGAGGTCACTCACCTGGCCTGCCAGGTTGAAATAAGAATGGTTGGTCAGGTTGACGGGTGTGGTCTGACTGGCCTGTGCTCGGTAGTTGATCACGAGCTCCCCACCATCCAGCGTGTATGTTACCCAGACTTTTAACTCCCCAGGGTAACCTTCCTCACCGTCCGGACTGACCCGGGAGAACTGGACGCCATTTGACAGCACCTGAGGGGTCCAGAGGACCTAGAAAAAAAGTATTTTCAAAGCTGTTTCGTCACTCCAATCCCAAGCTAAATGCCACATTTCAATATCAAAGACAACTGATTCCAGGAAGGGAGATGATGATGCAACCCATAAGGTTGAAAATAATAGCCTAGATGTTAATTATTCTAAAATCCCGTTTTAAACAGAATTGGAGAGAAAAGAAATTTTCTCTTTACCTACTCACACTTCCCATACTCTTTTCCCCTGAATTTATATATATGTGTCTACAATATTTTCTTTCCTTACTTTGAGACTTTTTTGTTGAAATCTTAGCAGTACATTCTGAGTGTCATATAGCGATATCTGCTATCTGCTAATAGTATTAAAAATAACCTTGCCCAGCTGGCATGGCTCAGTGGTTGAACATCCATCTGTGAACCAGGAGGTCACGGGTTCGAATCCCAGTCAGGGCACATGCCCGGGTTGCAGGCTCAATCCCCAGCGAGGGGAGAACAGGGGGCACTTCAGCAGACATGAGACTGTCATTGTTGAGTCCTTACCAGCTGCTGACCTGGTGCTTCTACATAAATCATTTCACAAGGTAAGGATTTAGTAGGACCAAAAAAATTATCATCTTTGCAGGTCAAAATAGTTGAACAGTGGCAATTTCACATGGTTCCAATTAATATTATTACTCCCATTTTACAGATGAGTAAATTGAGTTCAGTGGAGTTAGCTGGCTCACTTCTACCTCCCACATCCCAGGGGAATGGAGTAGAAATCTTTAATACGTCATGCCCACTGTTTAAAGGGTGTGTGTGTGTGTGTGTGTGTGTGTGTGTGAAGTCATACACGTAATTAGTGATAGAGCTAGGATTCAAATTCAGGTCTACATTATAACACATCTTGGTTTCAGTGGATGTTTTGTTCAAATCTCCACGAGCATATGATTTTTTTTAAAAGGAAATAAAGTATTAAAAAAAAAATCTCTATGAGTTGAGGCCAAACACTGTCATTCCAAATAGACTTGAAAGATAACAACTCCTTTGGCCTGAGGAATGGCCATGAGCCCAGGCTGCGCCCCCTCCCGCTCTGCCCCCACCCCCACTCCTGCCTGCACCTCTCAGTGACATTGCCTTTGCCAGGAAGGGGAACCCAGCCGGAATGGAATGGAGGACTCTGCCTTCACCGATAGTGAAAGCAGCTGGTGCCTGAAACAAGCTCACTGACCTTAGAAACAAATTAATTTTAGACCCTAATTACCTCCCAGGAAGACTGAATTTTCAAGACACTGAACACACAAAGCCTGTCATATATGTGGTTAAAGAAAGAAAAAAGAAACTCCCGAATGGAAATTTTTAGGAATAAAAAAACTTGAAATGTTCTTAACTTGCTACCTTGTTTTTCTCCTTTAGAGAAAGAACACAATGGAAAGATTTCTGTGTAAACCAATAGGATCAGATAAGTACAATACCGTGGGAAGTGTCATTCCTATTCATGGAAGGATTTCCCTCACCCTATTGTTTCCAGATTTCCAGAAAATTTCCCGATTTGCACCTTTAGGCCTACTTCTCCCATTTCTAATCCCGTCAGGTTCTTCAAATTTCATCTTTAGAAAACACATACCTCCAAAAGAACAATTATTCGGTAACCGTTGAGATCAAACCCAGCTGAAAACGAAGTTCGCCTGATACTGCCCATGGTACTCTATCAAAACCTACTGTTCAAAAGCTTTCCACAATAACATTCCAAGTGTTCCCCCACTTCTCTCTGGGCTGTTGCACAGCCATGCTCTCCAATATCAACACAGTGAATGAAATGCTATCCTTTCTTCAAGGGCAGTTCAAGTCCCACCTCCCCCGTTGCTATGCAGTTGTCCATGCCCGGCTCCTCTGTCACACCACTGGCGTCTATATTATGGGCTTATACAGTGGTTTATGGAAGGGTCCCGCTCCCTCACTGTACTGTGAGCCTCAGAAAGCCCCATCCTCTGATGTGCCCTGGTTCACAGAAGGGGCCCAGTAGGCACATTGCATTCAAGAATATGTATACATGCACACTCGCCATTTGCTACGTTCATACAGGGCATACGTGTTAAGCAACACCACAGAAAGTACCACCGTGGGCGAGAGGGAACAGGAACAAGCAGGAACACGGTGCTGTTCTGAGGCTCTGCTCAAGATCCCTGTCCGCACAGAGCTGGGCCTAACTTCTCTGGTTGTGGTTTGCCCACGGACCGAGCATATGCCAGGGACCCTCTGGCTCTGTGCCTCCCTGGCCGAGGACGCCCATCGTGGAGGAAAAGGGAACTGAGGTGGCAGGGTGTGTCTGGGCCACAGACAGGAAGCTGGTGGAAGCTGGTGGGACAGGGGTAGCAGGGTAACCAACTTCTTCTCCGGGAGAGCTGGCGGTCAGGGGCAGAAAGAAATTGTGGTCCTTAACTGCACACATGTTCCTGTCTCCTCTGGCTCTTCGCTAGGAAATCACCTGGCGGTGTGTTTGAAAGGCAAGTGAACTACCGAAAGGATCTCCCTCACAGCCTGGAATGAGACCAGTAAGAGAGTCCCTGGGGGTTGACCAGCAGATGCACCCAGGGAGGGGCCAGGAGGCCAGGCGTCCCTGCTCAGGGCGAAACTGTTGGGTCAGTTTGCTTTCCTCGTCTCGTTTTTCCCGGACTCTCTGGGGGAGTGGGAGTTTTAATGTGGAAAAGGGGAACTGGGGAGGATAGGGGATAATTTGGGGCATGGAGAGGTAGGCCTGAATGCAGCAGAGCTTAACCACAGATACAGGGGTGTGTGTGGACTGGGGGCACCCACAGTGGTGGCCGAGGTGGAGAGCAGCAGTTGTGAAGGAATGAGACCTTCTGGCCAGGCAGCCCGGCTTAGGAGCATGTGGCCTTTTGGAGCCTCAGATTTCTCATTTGGGATAATACAGGGTCCTAGTAAGGGTGAGAGACAATACATGAAAATACCTTGGGCAGTAAGTGGTCAGTATTATTTTAATCCACTTTCCTGCTGTGCTTATGGGTCAACTCGACTCCCTGGTCCAACCCTGAGGAAGTCGTTCCCTGTCTTCCTAAGTCAAGGTCACTGTCCTTTCATAGTCAGAGGAGTTGGGCAAGGATGGGTCCTGAGACAGCCAGCGCACCTGCTCCTCCGAACCATGGAGCGGGGTCTTTCCTGAATCACCTTCCCACGCACTTGCTCCAGGGCCTAGGGTTGCGCCTGGTAAACAGCAGGGATGCTCGAAGGCCCTGTGTGAAGTGTGCCAGGTGAGGACTCGGCCCAGTGCCCCCGACTCACCTTATCAAACCCTCTGACGCCTCCATGCAGACTGTTGGGCCCATTGTTGATGGCCAGCTTATACTCCTTCCCGTCCAATGTGAATGTTCCCTTGGCAATTCGATTGGCCACCCTGCCAACCACGGCTCCAAAGTAGGGCTGCTTCTGGAGGTACCCTGCAAGGACAGGGGATGACAGTTTTGTAAACTTCAAACTGAAGGTGAGGCTCACACTGCTAGCCACCACTTTCTCCTGAGGGCAGCTGCGAAGGAACAACTTGGGTATACCCTCATGGCAGCACAGAAAATGGTGTTCTCTACAAGTGACCTTTCCCCTTTCCAGAGTGGTAAACATTTTTAAAGAACGTTATAAAGCACAAAGAAGACACTTAAACCATCCTAACCTCATCAACAGACAAAACCACTGGTTTAATTTTTTTTTTTTTTATCAATTGATTTTAGACAGAGATAGAGTGAGACATCACATTGCGGTTCCACTTATTCATTGGTTGACCCTTGTATGTGCCCTGGCGGGGATGAACCTACGATAGTGGTGCTGGGAGGATGTGCTAACTAACTGAGCTATCTGGCCAGGGCAGAACCACTGTTACTATTCTTACGCACATCCTCTGTCTTCTAGTATATGCTTATGGGTAATTTTCTTTTTATTAAAAAAGAGGGGTCTTAGTGTACATGCTGCTTTGTAATCTGCTTACTAATGAGACCAGTAAGAGAGTCCCTGGGGGTTGACCAGCAGATGCACCCAGGGAGGGGGCAGGAGGCCAGGCGTCCCTGCTCAGGGCGAAACTGTTGAGTCAGTTTGCTTTCCTCGTCTCGTTTTTCCCGGACTCTCTGGGGGAGTGGGAGTTTTAATGTGGAAAAGGGGAACTGGGGAGGATAGGGGATAATTTGGGGGCATGGAGAGGTAGGCCTGAATGCAGCAGAGCTTAACCACAGATCCAGGGGTGCGTGTGGATTGGGGGCACCCACAGTGGTGGCCGAGGTGGCCCCCTCCCCTCCGCAGGCCAATCAATTTTCTTAGTTACATTTATGTGTAGTCTTGAGAAGAAAGTATCTTATCTTTCTTCTCTTTTCATTAAAAAAATCATGTAATTAGTACATAAAAATGTCCTTTAAAGAGTGTTATATAATACACAAGAATATAGAGTAGGCTTGCCAGAGGAACCGTAGGACACCCAGTTAAACCTGAATTTCAGGTAAATAATGAGAACATTTTAGTATAAGTATGTCCATATTATTGTTACACATGGCACATACTTACATTTAAAAATGTTATTTATCTGAAATTCCTATTTAATTGGGCATCCTGTGTTTTTCTTTGCTGAATCTGGCAACCTCAATAGAGTAAAACATAAAGTTCTTCTCCTCCTCTCAGCTCCTCTGCTTCCTGGTAACTACTGGTAACAGTTAGGTATATACACTTACTTTAAAGAACACACATTCTATAGAGAGAGACTATACACGCTGTTTTGCTACATTTTCAGTTATCAAATGTCTTAAGGTCTCTCCATGTGGCTACGTGGCATATTGATGAGAATAAACTGTTATCAGTATTTTGGGGGGGGGAGGGGGGGAGTAAATGAAAGATAGCTAGTGTCCTGTACTTACAACTTGGTGCCTGGGCACATTACAGTACTTTCCTTCTCTTTAAGTTCCTCTGTGCTATAATCTTCTAGCTTAGATTACAGTGGCAGAGGTTAAGGTTTAGAGGTAATTTTTTTTTTTTTTGTATTATCACCAAGATTGCTTTCTACTTTATATTTCACTCAGAGGCCCTCGAATTCCATTCCCCTTTCTGCAGTCCTGTGTACCCATCACATCTACGCTGGCTCAGAAGAGCATGCAATTTAAGCCTGTGCACTGTTTTTACCACAGTTGGAGGGGCTCTGAGGACATGGACCCTGAACCGATTAGGCCAGTTGCAGGTTACAGGTTCCCATTACTCAACTGGTTGGGCCTAACCGAAGCATTCATCTTCTCTTCCAGGTCTTTCCTGGCTCACTTCTTGCTAATCTGCAGGTCCTCAGAGTCCTGCCTGTAGATTGTTGTCACAGCTAACACTGTGCTTTCAAAGTCTCAGCCACTTTCTAAATGCTGTACATTTAACGCATTTCATCCTCAGAATGCTTCCATAAGGTAGACACTATTATTAGCAGGTGTGGAAACCGAGAACAGAAAGGTGAAGTAACTCGCCCCCAAACATACAGCTAGTTATGGCCAAACCGGGATTTGAATGCAGATGCTCTGGCTCCTAAATACTTGTTCTTGTGCATCACATGACTTGGAAAGCACAAGGCTTTCTGATTAGTTGACCTTACTACCATCTCTCAGCACAGGCAGGCTGATCTCTATCAGCTCCCACCTCTCTCCCACTCTCCTCTCTTCCTGAAGCTGTAGCTTTAAAACCCTAACACTGGCTAACCAAAAGGAGTCCCCAAGGGCCAGACAACCTTTTCTTGGTTTTTGTTTTTAATAGACTTTATTTACTTATTTTTTAAAGTATGTTTTTTACCGATTTTAGAGAGAGAGGAAGGGAGAGGGATAGAAACACTGATGAGAGAGAAACAACGATACAACATCGATTGGCTGCCTCCTGCACACACCCTGCTGGGGATCAAGCCTGAAACCCAGGCATGTGCTCTGAGTGGGAATCAAACCTGCAACCTCTTGGTGCACGTGTCAACACTCAAGCACTGAGCCACACTGGTGGGACACTTTAGAAAAATCAAGAAAACTTGAGCTGAAGATAGAGATTCCCAAATAACCCCTGTCCTCACACATGCATAGCCTTCCCCATTATCAGTATCCCCCACCAAAGTGGTACATTTATTATAATTGACTAGAGGCCCAGTGCACAAAGGGTGGGGGGTCCCTCAGCCTGGCCTGTGCCCTCTCGCAGTCTGGGACCCCTTAGGGGATGTCCACCTGCTGGCTTAGGCCCAAGTGGGCCTAAGCTGGCAGTCAGACATCCCTCTGACAACCCAAGAGCCCTCGGGGGATGTTTACTTGCCAGCGGGGAGCAGGCCTAAGCTGCAGTTGGACATTCTTAGTGCTGCTAAGGAGGCGGGAGAGGCTCCCACCACCACTGCTGTACTGACAGCCGTCAGCCTGGCTTCTGGATGAACAGAGCTCTCCCTGTGGGAGCACACTGACCACCAGGGGGCAGCTCCTGCATTGAGCGTCTGCCCCCTGGTGGTCAGTGTGTGTCATAGTGACCAGTCATTCCCAGTTGTTCTACTGTTAGGGTCAATTTGCATATTACCCTTTTATTATATAGGATGAGTCTACATTGACACATCATCATTACCTAAAGTCCATAGCTGACATTAGTGTTCACTCTTAGTGTTGTATATTATATGGGTTTGGACAAATGTATCCTCCATTATAATATCATTCAGAGTAGTTTCACTGCTCCAAAAATCTTCTGTGCATTGCCTATCTATCCCTCCCATCCCTCTAGTCCCTGGCAACTACTGATCTTTTATACTGTCTCCATAGCTTTGCCTTTTCCAGAATGTCATATAGTTGGAATCATACAGTATGTAGCTTTTTCAGATGGGCTTCTTTCACTTAGTAATATGCATTTAAGGGTCCTTCCTATCTTTTTTGTGTGTGTGTGTGGCTTGATAGCTCATTTCTTCTTAGCACTGAACAATATTCCACGATCTGGATGTATCCCAGTTTATTTATCCATTCACCTACTGAAGGACATCTTAGCAATTATGAATAAGCTACTATAGCTATCCCGTGTGCAGGTTTTTGTGTGGGTGTAAGATTTTAGCTCTTTGAGTAAACACCAAGGAGCATGACTGATGGATCATATGGTTAGAATATGTTTAGTTTTTAAGAAACTACTAAACTGTCTCCCAAAGTGGCTGTGCCATTCTGCATTCCCATCAGCAATGAATGAGAGTTCCTGCTGCTCCACATCCTAGCTGCTCTTTGGTATTGTCTGTGTTCTGAGCTTTGGCCATTCTATTAGGTCCTGTTTTACTTTGCATTTCCCTGATGATATATAATGTGGAGCATTGGTTTGTTTTTCAGGAGCTGAAAAATGCAAAGAAAGCAGAATTTCTGTTCAAAAATTGTTTGGCTGTATGTACCTCAGACAGCCCAAACCTTAGCCAGACTTTAAGGTAAAGTCTCAAACAAAATTGCTCACTAGTCTCGGTCAACCCCCCTCACGCTCACCCTGATTCACTTTCCTTTGGCTTTTTGAGGAAAACAAACATTACTTTAATTGACGAGCACTTTAAGCTTCCCACATATTTTATATATTTTTCAATGGCTGCTGGTTGTCCCAGATGAATCTCCATGCTATTTTTTTTTTCAGTGCTAACAAAGTGAAATAAAAAGTTCAAGTACTGGGAGGGAAGATATTTGGGAGCAAAGGAAGGAAAGAAGATAAAAATTATTACTTGTTCACCACAGACAGATACCATCACAGCCAACAGCACATTTAATCATCATTATCCACTTGTTTCGGAGAGGAAATAGGTCTGGAGAGGTTAAATAACTTGCCCAAGGTCACACAGCTTTCAGGGACAAAGCAGATTTAAACCAGGAATCCTCAATACTCCCTTAAGGGCACTCTGGGGCATCTGTAATATTAAACTGCAGCCTCTAAACTGGTCCCCTTTCCTCCAGGGTAACCCCTCTTATGAACTCAGGTTTTCCAAAAACACTATAGTTATTTTTTCTAGTTTTTCCATAATGGCTCATGACAGTAATAGCTGGGTGTCTGGTGGTAAGTGGGGGGAAGATGGAGGGGAAGGAGTTGCATTGATTGTATGGGTAGGTTGTTTACATCTGTGGCTTGTAAGCAAATGTTCTCATGGCAGGTTTGGAAAGAAGTCATAATGATTGCAGGTAGGACATGCAAATGAAAAACATTTAAAAGTATTTTAAAAACAAAATATGGCAGAAAAACTCACTGGAGGCGTGACTGATTTTCCCAGCCCGTAACTAAGAGACCATGTGATTTACCTCTTTAGAATTCTACAGAGAAAGATCTCATTTACCCAAGGAGGAACTGAACTGTTCTGACCTCAGGTCGTGGTCATCAGCCAAGCAGTTTATATAATCTGCCTGGGAAATTGGCGGTAGTTCATTCACATCGATCTGGCAGTTACAAAAGGACCACGTCTCATGGACTTATCCACGCTCAGCTCTTCCCAGTGGCTCAAAACATTTTAGGGGACACGGTAATGAAGGTAACCCCTTGCTCTGTCACATCTTATTGCTTTAAGTTATTTGCCTCAGTTTGTTTCTTTAACACTTACATACTCAGACATTCTTAGACCATATAATGAACATTACGTCTCCTTCCTATCCCTGTACCCCAGCTACCCAGAGTCTTTGTTTAAGGGCAACCACTGTTGCCGATTTCTTAACATGGGTTTTAATACACTAGAATTGATCAAAATAGCACAGAGAGACATTTCATACTTCTGTTATGTGCAGTTTAACGATGGGGACACATTGAGAGATTTTACCTTTGTGCAAACCTAGATAGTATAGCCTGCTATACACCTAGGCTATATGGATGGTATACTACTGTAGTGTGGTCCGACCTTGACCAAAATATTGTTATGCAGCAATACTGTATTCTGATTGAGGCAATTATGCTTCCTGTTATGAAGTCTTCCTTATTTTTGGCAATATTAAAGGAATATACACACACACACACACACACACACACACACTGAAGGACAGGGCCTTATAAAAGGAACAAGGAGGCTGCCTGCCATAGCCTTGAAGATGGCTGAATATATTAGAAAGTATTGCTTGATATTCTCAGGGCTTTTTTCCAACTTCTCTTTTGAAAACAGCTTGATTTTCTTTTAACATAAATTATTTAAATTACAGCATAGAAATGAAAACGTCTCTCTCACTGCTTATTGTGAAGCCTGTGACGCATTCTGGTTAAGAAAATTCTATTTAACTTTCCCAAGAGATGTTAATTACATGGAGGGCAATACAATACAAGCCAGGGGATCAGTTTTTTCCCCCCTCCCTTTTAAGAACAATGGGGAATATTTTCTTTCACTCAGACTCCCACGAGTCATAAAGTCATGGAGACAGCTGTATAAATGCCCTCACAAAATCGGCACTTCTATGCCGGTGCTTCCCCGGTGCCATGTTATCATGACACATATTTCATATGAATTCCAGAAAGCCTCCTTGTGCTTTAAGATCTATGTAACTCACATCAGAACTAAAAATGGTGTGAACAGTGTGTGTGTGTGTGTGCGTGTGTGTACAGAGGGAGGGTAGTTACATCCTGAATAGAGATAAGGCCGAGATAGAAATGAGATGATAAAAACAGGTGCTCTTGGCTTATCGTCTCGAATAAAATATATTTAAAAAAAAAAAAACAGGTGCTCTTGGCTTATCGTCTTCAGTTCTTTACTGGGTCTGCAATTGTAGGCCAAGTACCCAATTCTTTGACTCTATGGGCAATTTTGCACCAGTCAACTAAACTCTTTGTTGTTTGTTTCAGCCTAGAAAATGGTTATGCTAGTGATAGAGAGAGGTGACTCAGCAAAATGAGGAAGCCTCTTTTGTCATTTGTCAACCCTGCTTCTTGCCTTCTGACTTTGAAGACAGATGGGAACACCCACCTCCAGAAATTCAAGGGGATATGGAGCTGATTTCCCCCACATCCCTGCACTTTCCTACGCTGGAGTCTCCTGTAATAGATTTGCTGAAGTTACCAAAGAAATTCTGCCGAAGATGATCTACTCCCTCTCCAAGATGACCTACCCCCTCTCCAGACCAAGCAGTGGAAGCTCCAACACAGATTAAGACAACTACAGGGCAAGGAATAGGATCCTCAGGCATATTCTGATAATACATTTTGATAAGGAAATGGGAAGCAAATTTCAGTTTCCTAAGGGAAACCCAATACTCTCAAGAGTTTTCTGTTGACATCCAGCTCTGAGCCATGCTGCATATCTAAAGAACCAGACAGAAGGACACGCCTAAAAGAAAACCTCAAACCTCCTCTCTAAGCAGACTGTTTCCACCTCCACCACCGGGCAGAGGATATCAATTCTCAACAGGGTCCCTTTGCCAACTTTATTTCAGACCTCATTTCCTGTCCAGTGGCACCCCTACTACCAAGAGAACACTTTGTATGCTCTCCTTTACTGCCATCAAACTGCGATTGTAATTATTTATTTATGCAATTATTTGGCTAATGGCTCTGTCCCCAGCAAAACTACAAGCTGTATGAGGTTGGGGACCTCGTCTGTCTCATTGGATGAGGTAACTGGATTAACAGTTTTTAAATGCATGTAGTAATATACGATCTTAATTGCCCACGGATTCCAACAGGATAAAAGTCCACCCTAGCTAGGAGAAGACCTCATTTCTAGACCAGGAGTAGGTCTTCCGCGTTCCATTCTGTACATGGTCCTTGAGCAGCCAGAGCCTGCTGGGCACTAACCCCACCCAGACCAAAGTGGATAAGCTGTCTGCATCTCCTGAGTTATGTCTGAGACAACCATGGCTCAAAGAGACTCTGATCCAGGAAAAGGGAAGTAGAAAACGCACATCTTTGATTTTCCTGGTTGAGAAAGGGCAAGAGGGAGGAACTGGGAGCCACACCCCCTCCAGCCGGCCTTTTCCTCTTCAGCTCTGACAAAGACCAGGCGGTTCAAAGATCGCTCCAGGGTTGCTGGAGTTTTCTCTGACCCTCCACTGACTTTTTAAATCAATGGAGGCAAAGCCTGAATGGATAACCAGAGGCCAAGTCCTAAGCTGTTCATTCTGTCTTTTCCCGAGCACTGGATACAACACAGAGAGTGAGCGGGACGCCAGCATTCCAGACCCGCACGTCCCAAGCTCGGGCCCTTCCCCTCGGTCCCTGCTCCCGGAGCAGCCCCATCCCGGCCGCGTGCAGGGTGGGCCTGAGGCGCGCCTGCAACCGGGGCAGAGTGTAACCCACCTTCCAACTCGGCAAAGCCCAGCACTACATCTGAGGCTCTGCCCTGCCTGTCTTTGACCTCCAGGGCCGAGATGGTGCACCCCCAGGAGAGGATGTCCACTCCCAGCTGGTCTGACTGCAGCCGGAACTTCTCCACTGTCCCTGCCCGCGAGGGCAGCTCTCCAAACACGGATCTGGTCACCGAAACCATGGGGAAAGCAGGGTGTGCTGGGATCCCGGCCCTTCGAACTCCTGCCGCCGAAGTGGGAGCGACAGGAGTTTACCGGGAAAGGGGTGGGACCCCGCTCAGACTCCTCCCCTTCCTTGCCTGGATTTGGGGAGTGACCACTCCTGCAGAAAATATCCCCCGCGGCCTGTCTAATCTTCTCGTTGCCAAGGGTCACCTAAATGCAAAATTTCCAACCGTGCTTTTGGTTCTTTTCCTTTGCTCACCTTGGCTGCGTTGCATGTTGGGAATGGTAGTCTTTGGAAGATGAAGTTGCATTTTGGGGCTTGTAGTTTTTCTAAACCCAATCCTGAACCTACAGGATTCAACCCCCCTCCCCCCCCACCACCACCACCTCTGGCCCAAGGTTCTCAACGTGCAATGAGCTGTTCGTTAATGTTGGTGGTTGACTTTCACACTAAAAGCTAGAAAATGCACCGAGCAGAATTAGGGACGTTGAAAGGGATCTTGTGGGGAAATTCCCCCTTTCAGTTAACTCTTGGATCCAGAGGGGAAAGAAATGGAGGGGTTGTTAGGGAAGGGGTAGTGCAGGCTCCTTGGCACACTGCACACTGGCTGAAGATCCATTCTGTTTGTCCCGCAGGGGAAGCTCTGGACATGTTTCTGCTGGAGCTGCTGCCCAAAGGCTCTCCTGGCTGCCGGCCTGGAGTGGCCACCTAGGACAGGGTCAGTCCTCGGTGGTCAGGTGGTCAGGTGTGCATACAGGTGAGCAGAGGCAGCCTCCCACTTTCTTCTGAAGTTCAGAGTCCCTTTAAGAAGGCATTAAGGAAAAAAAAAAAGAAGGCATTAAGGAAACAAATATTGAATAAGGTCAGTATAAATACCTGATACTCTACTTTTTAAAAAAAAATATATTGATTTTTTATAGAGAGGAAGAGAGAGATAGAGAGTTAGAAACATCGATGAGAGAGAAACATCCATCAGCTGCCTCCTGCACATCTCCCACTGGGGAAGTGCCCACAACCCAAGTACATGCCCTTGACCGGAATCAAACCCGGGACCTTACAGTCTGCAGGCCGATGCTCTATCCACTGAGCCAAACCGGTTTCGGCCTGATACTCTACTTTTATTATCTCCTTTGCACAAGCAGAAAAAGGCTTTAAGTATGTACTGCCGGGAGAGGAAAGACACCGAGGTCATTAAAGAATCGTGCTTTAGTGTGCCTTGGAATTATTTGTGGAGATTTTTAAACGCATATCCCCAGGCCCATCCCTGGTGTTTCTGATTCTGTAAGTCTAGGCTGAGACTCTGGAATCTGCCTTTTTCACACTTCCCCAGGTTATTCTAATGCAGATCATCTGGAACCAATCTTTGAGAACTATTGCTGTAAGTTTAGATGACTAATTTCAGGCTCTGATGGCAGAAAACTAAAACAGAGCTATAAAAGGCCTTAATAGGATTGTCAGATAAAATACAGGAGCCGGTGTCTGCATTTCTTTGCTAAATCTGGCAATGCTAGACAGGACTGGGCCTAGGAAGGGAGGATGCGGGAAGCCTGAAGACATGTTTTACTTGACTGCATACTCACTCATCTTTGCTTGCTGCTGCTTCTGATTTGGTTCCTAGGTACTTCAGAGAGGATCGAACGAGGGTATGGTGAGTGCCAAAAGCATCTGTGATTAAGAAATTAGAGGAGAATTGGGATCATGTTTCTGGAATCAGATGCTAATACAGTATAACTGTCTCTTAGCCCTTTCTGTCTGTGTGGTTGGAAGGAATATTTAACGTTCTTGCCACCAAGCCTTAACGCTCATTTATGAAGCAGGGGAATTCTGATAGCAAAGGAAAACCAGAGCTTGCAGCAGGCTTCGGTGAAAAAGACCCAAACAAGTAAAGTTATAGACTGTACCACACATGTACAATAACTGATAAGCACTCTTGTGGGTGATTTCATCTGAAATTCTCATGAACTCTGTAGCCCTCACCGGCCCACTCAGCACTTATGGCTGATTCATACCCAAGCCCTTTTGGCTATGCCGTGTTAGCAAGGATGTCTTAGAACCTCTTCTGTGAGCACGAAGACTGCATTTTCTTTTCTTAGCCGCCGGTTCTCAATGTTCTGCCAAACTCAGGTTGTCACTGGAGAGAAATAAATACATTTGAATGGCCAAACCCAAATGTCACTAGGGAGGCCTTGTAGCTTGACTTAGTAGAAAATGAAACATACCATGATGTCTCCCTAAGATGTAAGGAGCACACTTCTTCATATATATTATACATATATTATTGATTTCAGAGAGGAAGGGAGAGGGAGAGAGAGACAGAAGCATCAATGATGAGAGAGAATCATTGATTGGCTGCCTCCTGCATGCCCCACACTGGGGATCGAGCCAGCAACCCAGGCATATGCCCATGACCGGAATTGAACCCAGGACCCTTTCAGTCCACAAGCTGACGCTCTATCCACTGAGCCAAACCAGCTAGGGAGTACACTTATTGATTTCATTTTCCTTTTGCTTTTAAGGATTTAACATATAGAGCCAAATAGGACTACCTTGTGCTAAGGCAAATGTTAGGCACAACACTTGATTTTTCTTACCAGGATATCTCATTTCCCTAGTCTCACAGTCATACTCTAAAAGAAATATTTAAGCACTTAAAAAAAATAAGAAATCTAAGAAAATATTCTGCATTTCCAAGGTTGGATTAGATCAGAAGCAAGGTAGTAATCTTGCAAAGAAAGCACTGTCAAATTCTAGGGGGGTATTTATTTTTATTTTGGGGAGAGGGGCCAAGAGGAAGGCTATGAGGTAAAGGGAGTAGGAACTGTGACATTTATGTCAATGAGGAGTTACTTAGAGTGGATACCTTTTCTTTCAACCAGCGATGAATGGACAGGTGAAGAATAAGTTCTGTCCCTGTCTTCAGCTGTGGGTTAGTCCTCTAAGTTGAGTGCTGGGGAGCCAGAAATAAGGAAATCTGAGCCCTGACACGAGGCTCCACACCCTCATTCTACACAAAAACTGCAGGTGTGCTGTTCCTGGGACCTATCAGACTCTGGGCTCATGAAAAAGGCTGGCTCCAAAGCCTTAAGCTGTTGACAGGCTGCTGCTATGCAGAGGAAACTGAGATATAACAATAAAAACAACTCACAACACCTCAGAGTTTGTCTATAAAGAGATCTAGAACAGATTCTTTTCAACCAGGTTGGTACATCACCACCTTCCTGTTTTCTTTCTCATTGCTTTGAACTCCATTGGTGTTATTGCTAGTGCTCTTCGTTGGGCACTCAGCATGCACTGTCGTAGATCATTTCTTACCATTCCGTGAGTACATTTTGTTGTTGCAACTGTTTACTCAACTGTTGGCTCCCTGACTCAATATTTCAACTTTATTTTTTTCTTAACCCAACCATCACTCTACTTCGTTTCAGATGGAAGCTACTTGTACCTGGAAAACAGGAAGATTGTACCTGGGAGAATCCCATCAAGTTCATGAGAGGTAGAATTCTTCACAATCAATTCAACTCTGTTTCATCAACAATTTTGGAGCAGCTGCTGGGGAGGCATTCTGGGGGCAGGTGAGAAGCTATTGAGGAAGGTAGATTAAATTTAGCTGCACAACATGTTGCTCATTTGTCAAATATTCAACAAGTATGTGCCAGGCATTGTGCTAAGTGCTAGTTCTATATTGATAAAACATGATCCTCACCTTTCAAAGAACTAACAGTCTAATATGGTCAATGCTCATCTTTATCTTCCATAAAAAATCAGTAAATTCATTACTAGTCAATGCTGGATGAAACAAAGTATGAGAAAAAGAAAGAAAGAAAGAAGCAGAGTATGAGGACTAGCCACAAATTAGTTATAATTTAGGGTTGCCTAAAGATGTTTTGTCATATTGGGATTATTACGAATTCTCTAGCACCAAGCATAGTGACTGGCAATTTAGGTGCTCAATAAATAATTATTAAATGAATACACAAGACATTCATAAGTACAATGTTGCAGTGGAGAATTGGCCCTGCTATCAGAAGACCTGGTTTAAGAGGACTAGAATTTACTGGCAACTCATTCAACCACTCTGAACCTCAGTCTCCTCATCTGTAAAATGGGAATAATATCACATGATTGACCCATCCAATTACTCTTAATTGATTGCTACTAAAAATTACTAAAAATTTACTGGACATCATGATAAGCATCCCTATGAGGCAGGCACTATTATCTGATACAGAAATTGAGATGTAGAGAGGGTCAGTAGCTTGTTCAGGTCACATGGTTAGTAAGTCAGGAAACCAAGATTTGATCCCAGGCAGCTTGACTGCAGAGATAGGAACATTCCACCACTTCCTTACATGTTGCCTACTATTGTGGTCAACCGAGAACGTGGATTCCAAAGCACTCCATAAATTCTAACACATCACCCCAATGTAAAATGTTCATCTTCTAATTGTTATGGCAATTACAAATTTTAAAAAATCAGCTTTTGGAATTAGGCATGGCTGGATCTGGGCCAAATTGTGTCAGTAAGACTTGGTATTTATCTCTTCCTGATTCAGTTTTCCACGGTGATGGTACTATATTCAGGACTACTCTTTCTACTTATGATTTCTAGTTTATGTTATTCACAATAACAATCTCAGTAAAAGCGACAAAAGTCCCGGCATGAAATCACTTGGTTCTGGGCCCTTCTGAACCAAATACTGGTACGACAGTCAGCTTCACTCAACAATGTGGACCGAGAGAGTGGGGAGAGGTGACTCCCTCAGGGAAAATCTAGACGCTATTCCCAAAGACAGAATGGATGCTAACCAGGCAAACCAATATGCACCCATCGAAAAGAGTAACAGAGCTAATTTCATCAGCGTGTTCAAACATCTAGACTATTTCAACACATAGAAATACCTGTGTCTCAAAAGAGCTTTCAACATTTTGTCAGTGGTTCAGTAGCAGGTTTTGCCACATCCTCACTTCTATTTCTGTTTTATCTTTGTCTGCGTTGGTCCCCGGGCTAATGCGGTAGTGATGCAACCCTGCTTGAACCTTTCTGCACATTTTCATGTACCTTGCTGTTTTTCAAAGGACAGATTCAACCTATCCAGAAGCAGATTCA